TGGAGCAGTTCAGAGTTTGATTCGAAAGGAGGAGGAGGGTCAATACTTTGATAAGTTTGCATCGGTTCTAAAAAAGCCGTATTAATCATGGCGGCAATTAAATCTAAAAAAGCCGTATTAATCATGGCGGCATTTTACTATTTTGGTCTGCATACCTTGTAAAGGTTTTATAATTTTTAATATTTAAAAATTTTTTAAAATTTTTATAGACACATATTGCATGTTAACTGTTGAAATTTGTTTCAGTTTAAATTCCTATTGTCGTTTCGGGCAGAGGAGACATTTTTAATAACATATAACGTGAAGAACGGAGAACCTATACTAATGTGGGGAGGGATGTAATATAGCTAATTAATATGCTAATAACAACAACAACAACAACAACAACAACAACAATTTTTATTAATACTCAGAAATTACAAAAAGTTCAGAAATTGCAGAAAACAAATGAATTTACAAGAAGTGAGTATAGGCCACCTGCAATAACTATTAAGGAGCTAGACTAGGCAGGTGACCTTCAAATTAATATAACCGAAAAATAACACTGAATAACAAGAAGCAGCTAGTTCAAAGAATATTTACATAATTTTAAAACAAAAAACAATACCAGTTACAATACAACATAATACAAACAAAAAAAAAAAAGAAAAAACACACTGAGCCAATAAATATAGATATATAAATAGATAATTTAAGGATAAATGAATTTGATTCTAGTAGAAGGCGATTAGCTGATTTTTAAGTTCCTTTTTAAAGGAAAATTCAGTCAAAGATTTTAGTGATTCATCAATATTGTTCCATAACTTAGGTCCACAAAATCGAATATTAAATAAACCGTAATTAGTGCGAATAAGTAGTAAAGAAAAAGTTGATCTACAGGGTGTATCAGAAAAAGCGCAATCCTCGACTGAAATGTAAATTGCTAAACAAATAACAGACGAAAACGTTAAAGTTTACATTCATTTTAAAGCGTGGCCATTCAGCTTTCTAACAGTGGGTTGTTTCTTAAATTTGACTCATTGGTTCGCGCGTAATAATACTTTACGTTATTGCGATTGGAGATTAAAAAAATTGAGATATGGAATAACAAATCGTTCTCATGAAAATAACTGATTTTTTCATTAAAACAAAAAATGTTGCATTTTATTAAATGGATTGTAACAATAAGTATAATTACGGCTTTTCTTCCACTATTTTTAACTCAGTTTGAAACTTCAAATGCGATATAATTTTGGCTTGGACCATCTAAGCTGACTGACATCAACTTGCTATAATTTCTGTTTACATTACATCGCAATTCGATGACACTCTGGCTCAGACACCAGAATGTTTTGACGATTTTTAGCATTCGTTTAGGATTTTCAAACAACCTGGTCTCTTTTAAAATACTTTTAATTTGTTCTTACGTGGTTTTCCAGATGTAGTGACGACAACATTAAAGTTTAAAGAAGAAAATTCTAACATTTAAACCGACTAAACAATAACATAGTAAACTTGCATAATTAAACAGCAACTAAAAATGATAGGTTTTACTAAATCTTTTCCTGTGCAATTATTACTAGCATTGGAGACAAGGATAATAGTTTGTTTCAAAGAGAAAAGAACATGCTTTGAAGTAAGCCTAAAAGCGTTTAACTAAAAATAGTATTTCGAAAGTTATTAAGCACAAAAGATGAATTGCGTTTATTTTGATACACCCTGTAGATGCAACACGGGTACCATACAGATGCGTGTTACAAGTTGGATTAAAATATACATCAAAATTGACTGGGAGATTGCCTTTACTGTACGGAAACATAAATACGGCAGTATACAAGTCAACAATGTCCAAAAATTTTTAAAAGATTGAGTTTTTTGAAAAGGAGTGAAGTTTGTGCTTGAAAATCAGAAAAAGTAATAATACGTATAGCTTTTTTTGTAAAACCATCAAAGGGTGTAAATTAGTTTTATAAGTATTTCCCCAAATCAAAATACCATATGTCAAAAAGGAATAAATAATTGAATAATACACTTGCAAAAGAATATGCGTAGAGACAAAATTACAGAGTTTTAATAAAACACCAATACCCCTAGAAATCTTTTTGGAAAGTTCGTGTATATGATCCTTCCAATTCAGGTGACGGTCAATAAAAACACCTAAATATATAATGCTTTTCTTCTCTTTAATAACTTGATCATTAATTTTAAGACTAATAGAGATATCAGGAGTTTTTTGAGGTGGATAAAAAAGAACAAAATTAGATTTGTCAATATATAGAGATAACTTGTTAGCACAAAGCCACTCATTAACATTACATAATTGATTATTTAAATTTGTCTCTAAATACTGAAGACTTTTATGACAACAAAAAAGATTAGAATCATCAGCAAACAAATGAAAATCTATTTCACTTGCACAATTATTGAAATCATTTATATATAATAAAAACAATAATGGTCCAAGTACAGATCCCTGAGGGACACCACAGGTAATGAATTCGTAATCAGATGTCGCAGTGCCAATCTTAACAAATTGTTTCCTATTTGAAAGATAGGAACAAAACCAATCTTTTACTATTCCTCTAATTCCATAATTTTCAAGTTGTTTTTTTTTAACAAACTAGTATGATTAACAGTGTCAAAAGCTTTACTTAGGTCTAGAAAAATACCACATGAATAAAGTTTGTTTTCAATTGCTTTTTGAATTTTATCGGTAATGAGCAAAATTGCATGAGTTGTTGATAAATTAGAACGAAAACCAAACTGTCCATCAAACAAAACTTGGTTTTGTTCAAGAAACTTTATCAATCTTTTTTACATTAGTTTTTCTAAAATTTTATTAAAAATTGAAAGCAAAGAGATAGGTCGATAATTTGAGACAATATGTTGAGGCCCTTTCTTATATACTGGTATAACTCTTGCTATTTCCATCCTATCAGGTACAACACCGGATGAAAATGAACAATTGAAAAGGTATGCCAGTGGGCGAGACAAAAGAAATTTGAGGATCTTTAATAGTTTCGTGGGGATGCTAAAAGGTCCAGTTGACTTGGAAGGATTAAGTTTGTTAATTTCATCTTCAATTTCAGTAGCAGTTGTAGGGAAAAGTACAAAACTATGGCAAAGTGAAGGACTTTAAAAAGTTTCAAATGAGGTTTCAACTGTGGCTATAGATTTGGCAAGATCAGTGCCGATAGTTGAAAAATAATTATTAAAAGCATTAGAAATAGTTTGTGAGCTTGATAATTCTAAATTTCCAACCTTCAACGTTGTAGGGAAAGAGCGATTTGATGGTCCAAGTGTTGTTATCTGCTTGATACCCCTCCATGTCTCTTTAATATTATTTCTGTTAGTTGTAAAATAATCATTATAATATGATTTTTTACTTAGGAGTATTAGGTGTTTTATTTTATTCCTGTATATTTTGAATTTAGAAAAATAATAGTTGTTTTTTGTCCTTAAATATAGTTTATATAGTCTATTCTTAATTTGTATAGAGGCCCTAATGCCGTTTGTAATCCATGGATTGGCTAACAAACGCACCTGTTTCTTAGAAAGTCGCCTTAAAGGGACATGATTATCAATAGTCTCAGATATTTTAGCATGAAAGGACTCAAAAATAAGATTTACATCTTCAGACACAGGTAAAACATCCTCCCAATCAATTTGCTGGACATCATGCAAAAGATTATTCTCATTAAAATTAGAATAATCTCGACGGTATATGATTGGTTATTAATTATGGGAAAATTTGGAAGATGATCTGATATATCACACAGCAAATTTCCACTAATAGAGTAATGCTCAACAGAATTAAAGAAAGTATTGTCAATTAGAGTAGCAGCTGTATGATCAGTAATTCTGGTGGGCTGAAGTATGTGTGGTTGAAAGCAAAAAACTCCTAAATTATTAATAAATTCATCTGTTGGGGTATTAGATTCGTAATTCAGTAAATTGATATTAAAATCTCCCATTAAGATACAGTATTTTCCTTCGTTTGAAATTTTATGCATAGCTTGTGTTAAGTGATCAGTAAAATTTTCCAGATTACTATGAGGATGTCTGTAAATTACAGAGCATACCATATTCCTGTGAAACTTGCTGTGGATTTCAATCCATAAACTTTCAAAATCAACTGTACATAGATAAACTTAAATCATCTCTAGAATGAAATTCACAATCATCTCTAATATACATACCTACACCACCAGCATTTTAATGGCTTGGTTGGGAAATGAAAATATATTCAGGAATATCAATATTGGCTACTATATATTCCTTACTGGTGAATATTTTAGTTTCAGAGATACCAACGATATGGAATCTATGTTTTAGATCACATAATAAGGTAGTCAACTTATCATGATTAGCAGATAAGCTTCTTACATTGGAATGCAAAACAGAGAAAGAACTATTTTTTGAAAATAATTGACCTATACTATCATTATTTTTAAAATTTGGTATAGAATAATAATTAAAATCAACTTGATATGATAAATTATTATCGACATCAGGCCCAGATAAATTGGGCATGTTTGTTAAACTGGAAATTAGATTTAGTCTAGGTAGTGAATCTAGATAATGTTCAGTCATGGTTACTCATATCAAGTTGAAAAATATAGTATAAATATGGTATATATCTAGTAGCCAAAATATAGTTAATCAAACTTATCTTGATAAAGCCTCCAAATCTTGTGTAGACGAAATAACGTGTGCTGGGAGGTCTTTATTTTTCCTGAAGTAAATACGTTCAGATTGTGTCCAGATATACCTGAAACTGTGATTTCTCTTAAATTTTAGACAGTCCTTGAATAGTGATTTGTTTCTTGGACTCAAACTCTCTGAGATGAAAATATTATTAACTGACAGTATAGAGAGACCGATATCCTTGGTTGATTTATCTTTTAAATATTTACGATCTTGATAGAACTGTTCTTTAACTGACAGTCTCACAAATTTAACAATGATTCTAGGAAATCGATTGGCAGAGTTGACTCCAGTAGAATCCCCTTCTCTTGGTCTTAACCTTGAGCTGTAGGTTTCATTTTGAGCTTTATGCGGCAGTCGGTGGCTGATTGAAATATCTTTTCGTCAATGTGTACTCCCATCAATGAACCAACCTTGATCGTTAAAGCATTAGTGTCTTCATCTGGCTCTACTGGTAAGCCTGCGATTTCCACGCAGTGACGTCGGGAATACTGCTGAAAATTATTTATTTCTTCATCGTGCTGTCTAATGATATTGGAGAGTCTCAGTACCTCCATCTTCAAACATTTATTTTCCTTAACGTTTGCATCGCATTTTACTTCAATCTCTTCAACTTTCCTAATCGTCGAGTCGAATTTATCACCTAGGAACTTCACACTTTTCTTAAGGTTATCCATTATTGACATCATTTGGTCAATCGGTTTCAGCTTTTCGGCAAGCTTTTTATCTAAAATCTCCTCAAATACGGCTTTTGTGATTACAGTATCTTGACTCATTTTTTACGAAAACGAATAGACACGAAAAACAACAGAAATAGTTCAAAAAACCCCACAAAATAGACAAGATATTATAAGTTGAGGGCCCCCTATACTTTTTGCGTGAAGCGTGAAGGGCTTATTTTACTTAGCAGTGAAACGTGATCGGGCCCCCTATACTTTTTGCGTGAAGCGTGAAGGGCTTATTTTACTTAGCCTTGAAACGTGATCGATGATTTTCTTAATCCGTGACCCGTGAAAAGGCAAAATATTTTTACGTGAAAGCATATTGTGAAGAGGTATAGGGGGCCCTCTAAGTTTAGCGGAGCTCTGAAACTTGCCGCCATCTTGTTGTTCGTGCTTCCACTTCTTAATATTAATAACTAATCCAAATGGGAATAACTAATCAGTATTCAATATATAGTTCACCAACACTATAGCACGCGTTTATCTCGTTTTATTGAGTCTTAATACACTACAATAACCGCGAAACTATAATAGGCCCCCCAGAGAGTATGAATTGCGAAAATTTCTGTACCTTACCCGCTTTTTCGAGTAACAGTGTATGTTTTGCGGTTTATCAACAATGTCAAGAAGTCAACTAGAGATCGAAAAATGACGTAAACGACGATTTATCAGCTGTGGCGGCGCCACAAATTTATTAGTCACTGAGAGCGACTAAATGCTACACAAGCGTTTTGTCGTTATCGGAAAATGTATGGCTTATAAGTTGTCATTACTCATTAGTGAATGCGCGTATACATGAAACTGTCTTTTACAGTTTCAATATTAGTTTGTAAATCTCTGAATGGTAAAACTTACCAATACTCAAATAATACGTTTCAAAAAAGACAAAAATGTTTAGTTTTGCAAAGTTATTAAATAAATTCTCAAACGTGTAAAGGCCCACACAGACCGGACGCGATTCGGCAACGCGACGTGAATTTTCAGTTTTCAAAAACAAATAAAACCGTGAACGGATAAAAGGTATGCAGACCAAAATAGTAAAATTGCTAAGTGGTCCCGAATATTTGAAAAACAATGAAAAATATTAAAGTTAAATGTCACTGAAAACTGAAAATTCGCGTCGCGTTGCCAAGTAGCGTCCGGTCTGTATGGGCCTTAAGGCACTAATAAGATGAAAGTATGACGAAAGTATTTGAATAAACCACATCGCATATATGAGGGGCGAATATCCTAAAGGGGGGGGGCGATATTCCTGGGGCATTCGCCCCTCTGGGGGGGGCGATATTCCTAGGATATTCGTCCCCCGGGGGCGGTATTCCTAGGAATATCGCCCCCTTTTGAGAGGGGGCGAATCTCCTGGGGGGGGGGCAAAAGTCCTGTGACAACGGCATGGGCAAATAGCAGTACCTTTTTAAAAATTCTATCTTGCCTCCCCCCCAAAAAATATGAGTTTGCCCCTCAAATGCCCCCCCCCCCCGCCCAAATTCTGAGGCCTGGCGCCGCCACTG